GTGAGGGCCCCTTTTCTAGTTTTCATTCTAATTTTCAAGGAATAGCCAACAGGAAGTCCTATGGCTAGACCTTAGGCTACTAAAGAGGAACACTAGACCTCAAGCAAAAATGAGGTCAACACCGTTGTTCACGCATGAAGACTCCGTCCTGCTCGATCTCGTCCATCCTTTCAATACACGATCGATCAGACGGCTTTCCTTCATCATCCCCGATAGCTAGAGCCAGTGAGTTGTACAACTTCTAGACCTAAGATCTCACTAGATACTCAACTAAATCACATGGGGTTTGTTCCTACACCATCTACTCAAGTAGAACACATCCATACTGTTATAATGCCTTGAAATAAAACTTTTCTTCATAAAGGACCAAACCGAGCTCAAATTTAGGGTTCATGGTATATACCTTTGTCTAAGAGGGGAGGCGGAAGCTTCAGTGGAGTGCAACAACCCTCCTGGATGTGTTGGTTTCCTCTGGTGTAAGCTCCAAGTAGAAGTTCAATGAAATGGAGTGCAACCTTAGTCTAAGAATGGTTTGGAGAGCTCAAAAGAGGGGGATTTCAATGAGGATCTTTTTCTATTGCTCTAGGGAAGCTTAAGAGCAGTTCAATTTGAAGTTTGGGGAAGTTTGGAGGATAGCCGAAATTTCTCCTGATTTTGAGCTCAAAAATTAAGCTCACGTGATGTGGGAAATGTCCAATAGATGGTTGCAATAAGCTTAGGGAGTCTTAGAGGAGCTCTAGGAGCAATTTGACAGAGTTTTGTTTCCCCAAGGAAATTGGATTGCCCTATTTTTTGGCCATGGAGGAGGGGAATGGCTTAGGGTGGCTCCCAGGGCTTCAAATTGGGTGCAATGTGGAGCTGAGGTGGAGGGCTTCAAAGTGCTAAGGGCCAATCAGAGCTGGGCAGCTTAAATGGGTGCTTTGGGTTTTGATTTAAGGGGGTGACTCTTGGTTTTAGGGTTTTCGGCCACTAGGCCGGCTGGCAGGGCCAGGGATGGTGGCTAGAAAATTCAGGTGAGCAGAGGGAGGGTTAATTATGATTAACCCTTAATGGTTTGGCGTGATGGTGGACATATTTTGGCTTAGGCCCAAAAAAGAATAAAACCCCCTAAATCAAGGGACCATTGGTCCATGACTTATCTAGGGTGGGCTAGGTGAGTCTAGCCTGGTCACTAGGGTCCATTTAGTGGATGTGGCAACATTAATTTGGTCATTTGGACATGACTAAGTCAATTTTGGTGCATGGGTTCAATTTGATTCAAATTTGGCTTGAAATTGGGTTTAGGTTAGGCTAGCCATGACGTCGAGCCCAATTTATTGATCAATTTGGTGTAGATGATTGTCATAAAGAGTTTAGAAAAGATGATTATCCTATGGCGATTCACCTTGAGCTCCCCCATATTGACCCCACCTACTAAGTGCTAGAGATTATGACCAATATGTGGAACATATGTGGAACTTCAGAGTTTCTAATGGTGAGGATTTCTTTTCTAGTCCTCTAGGAATAGTCAACAGGAAAGTCCTATGGCTAGACCCTAGGCTACTAAAGAGGAAAGACTAGACCTCAACCAAAAGTGAGGTCAAACGTGATGCTCAAAGTGTAGTTAAATTCTTAACAAAGGATTCCTTTAGTAGATTTGATATGCCTAGAGTGATCAATAGTGATGGGGGAAGCCACTTTAAGAATTGAAAAATTAAGGCATTAGTTATGTCTAGAATTAAACATAGGATAGCCGCAGCATATCATCCTCAAACGGTTGATTTCACAAAAGTAGCTAATAGTTATATAAAAAAGATTTTAGAAAAAAAAACTGACAAACTAATATCTTATCATATCCTTTGGGTGAAGATTAAATATCTTACTCTTAAAGAGTATATGGTCATGTGTCTCGCTACAAACTTGTCAATCCTTGCTAAGAACATCGTGTAAACTTAGCACCGTATTTTTTGAAGAAGGTGATCAACCTAATAATGATCACCGTTGCTTGGCAAGAGAAATGCAAAACATTAACTCTGGTAGCGATCAACATATTCATAAACTCTGATATAGGTGAAAATCACATATCGACTCACAAACTTGCCTTATAAATTGCCAATATATCCAGGAGGAGGCAAACATGTTCGATCGATTGGAGTTGGCAACCTCGCCACCATGTCATCCGAAAAGTGAATCTTTTTTGGAATGATATCAGGGCATTTTTTGTAAACTTTGATACTACCTCCTTATGATTTGGATACTTCCTATGCTTTTTAGAGGGGTTGGAATTTTTTGGACATTGGGATCTTTAAGGATACTTGGGTAACAATGGTCTAGGAGATGGGCAGCACTAGCCTAAGAAATGGGGATACACCAGTTTATGAAATGAGGTAACACTCGCCCAAGAGATGGGAAAAATCCATGCAAAGAGATAAGGTAACACCAGTCCAAGAGATAGTGAAGCCGGCATAGGAGATGTGGAAACATCAGCTAAGATGATGGGGAAATAATATAATAGGAGATGGGGTAGCGCTGGTTCAAGAGAGGAGGCAACAATAGCCTATAGAGGCAACTGTAGACTATGAGACTCTTTCTTGCGGTAGGATGGATGTCATTTACCCCTCCCAACGACACTATTCATAGGCCAAACTTTACAGTTTTGGCACAAAAAGGTCAAAATTTAGAATTTTGGTGCAAAAAGGCTAAAATTTTGAAACATTTTACTCTGAATTTGTTTGTAGGTGAGCAAAAGCATAATCACAAGCCCACAATCACACATGCTTGCACATCATTGCTTATTTAGTTACTTGATCTTTGTCGTAGTCGTTTCAAACCCACCGAGTCACGCTCACTTGCCCGCGCAACAGCCTTCTGAAATTATTCCCATCTGAGCAGCTGCCCACTAGCACCCATTCTAGCTCTACTAGCTCATGAAACCGCCCATGCCTGTTCTCTAGCAACCTAATCCACTTAGCTTCCCACAATGACACCAACGCGACACGGTCTCGTATCCACAATAATGCCCTTGTAACTCCAAATGCCTCCCATTGTATCCGGTGTTGCTTGGTTACCACCATCACATTCAAACTACAATTACTCGTTTTCCACCCATCATGATGATGATAACCTGATCAAAATTTCCTAGAGCACCTATCAGAACTTAAAACGTCTCAAAGCCCAATTTTTTTGGAATATCTTTATTTTTGGACGATGCAAACAAAGTTTTCCTAAAAAGGGGGCCAACATATGTATCATCAATAAATTTTTATCAACTGAACAAATATTGAGGCATTTGCGAATAATAAATATTTCATATTCATTTTCAAGATCATTCAGGACTCTGATTTCAACAAATTTATAGGAAAAGTGACCATCTCGACAAGACAACCCAACGACACTAAAATTAGTCTAATCCAAGTCCAATGAAGTCAAGATCAAACCATTAAAGCACTTTTTGAGGTTTTAGATCATCAATTGGATGGTCAAATGAACCCCAAATTTAATAAATTTATATTCAAATAATTCAAATCAAGTCTTTCGACTACAGGAATCCATTTAGTCTAAGCTTCCTTAATTTTGAAATCATTAAGGTCCTCAAATCATTACAAAGCCTCTTACGATCAAGGGAGATTAAGATGGGTTGTTCGATCACGTATTTGGGAATGTTACTGGCCAAAGAACTAAAGTATCCCTCCCCTAAAGTTTATAAAAAGACCCCCTCTTTACTTGGAGGGGAGGAGAAACCATCAAATTCTAGTGATGTTCTAAACTAAAGAACCAACGTTAACTTTCAGTCTCAGTTGCTATAGACCACCATCGATCATTGTCTGCCACCTCCATCAACCACTGTCTGCTGCCCTTAAAGGCCGCCTTCAACGAACTTCATGGTGTAACGATGTATCCTAAGTATGATGTAATAATTTATCAAATATGATATAACGACATATCCCGAATATGATGCAATGAATAATGTGGTATTGAAGATCTAACGCTAATTCTCGATGACACCTGCTTATGACTGTCGTATTCAAAATGTAGTGAATTTCTCTGGACTCTTGAAGCTTTTTGTATTTTGTATATGGAGGAATATTGTACATCTGCTTTCCAAGTTGTGGGAAAAGAGTTCATTGTTTCTTATTACATACTTATAGTGAATTACTTTATCTAAGCTAAGCTCTGTCATTTCTTCCCTTTTCATTTTTTTCCAAGAAAAAAAATCAGCCTGCTCATGCTATTTCCAAATTATCCCGCAATTTGTTTGATCATCATATAACACTAAGACGTTACATTATCATTCTAAGGCAACAATCTTCTATGTTATTAGTGTGAAAAATAAGATCATTATTTTTAAGAGGATTTTTAAAAAAATAAACCAAGCTTGAAATAAATATTATTGTCTAATGATACATATTTATTCAATTTTTGGGGGGGAAAATTATATCTATTCAATTAATAAATTAATTAAGTTTCTTCATTTTTTTAAAATTTGATTTTTAGCTCAAGTGATTAAATAAAGAGAAAGTGTTCCATCCTTCATTCTACTTTTCTCACTGACGCCACTCATTATGGTTCTTTTTATTATTTTAAGTATTTAGAGAGAATACAAATTTGGTTTCCTTCATAATTTAATTTAATTTGGAAGTTAGATTTTAATTTAATCATTAGGGAGCTGAATTTACCGTAAAAATTAAAGAAACAATTTTTTTTTATTCCTATCTTCTTACTCAACTCTAATAAAAAATGAAAAAAAAAATTAAGCTTTTATTTTAATTCACATATTTCATTCACAAAAAACAAATATTTATTTCTATAAGGTCCACATAAAAAATAAGACACATTCGGTACATTTTATTCGATTTCCCCCGAGAACTATCTTCAACTGAATTCATTTAGTATTTCATTTTCATCCTTTATAATTCCATTAAACCAAACGGAGCATGTGTTTGCAGTGTCAATTTTCATAATTTAGGCAATTCAAATAGTCATAAACAAAAAAATGAAAAAATTAAATTGGTTCCACATACCTTTTCTCTGCCTCGACCTCATCGTCGGTGTCCAGGAAGGACTTCCAGGTCTTATTAAGCACGACATGGGTGTCAGCATCTGCATCAACACATGTTATGCTGCCATAAATTAATCCGACCATGGCCACCTTTGCCATAAACTCCGGCATCCTCTCCTCCATCTTCCCGACGATCACATCACTCGCGACTATCGATGTCTCCCCTCCCTCTGGAGATGGCTCGCCGCAACAGAACAATATCTTTGACGGCATAGTCCTCCGCTACATATTAATTACCTATTAATATACCTAAAAGCTTAACTTCCAATGACAATTTGAATGAGAAGTATTTTGTCCGGTGAACACATATTTGGACAACGATGACGATCCGACGACATCATCATATATTTCACGTGATCGGATTCTCACCGTTATCAAGACTTACATGCCCTATATATATATATATTATATATATATATAGCAAATCTTATATAATTTTATATCAAACATATAAAATTTCATAATTTCATATATACATAACAAATAAAATTTTAATATAATATAAAAAATTCTTATTCCTAAATTTTCAAAGCGAAATATATTTTTTATCAACAATGGCTTCATGATACTAATTAGGGTCAGTTTGGGACAGTTCTGGCTTATTGATTAATCTGCTAATAAGTTGATTAAAAATAATCTGCTGATAAGTTAGGTGCGGTGAGCATTACAATTTTTTTTTTTTTGGAAAAATCAGACTGCTGCTAGAAAGCTATAACCACGCTAAGATAAGTGTATTGTGAAAATATTGTTTTCAGTCTTTTTGAAAACACATAAACTGTCAAAACGCAGTTTACCCAAACAGAACAGGTTTTACTCATCTAAATGTTGAACTTTTAACAACTAGATATATATTATATTAAAAAAATTATGTGGTATAGATAAAATCAAGATAGACAGAAACAGCCACTAAAGTTGTCTGAAAAGCTAATGGGGTTTGTGAAATAACCAGGGACATCTCGTGGTGGAAGTTGATGAACAAGTCGGCAGCAGCCTCATTGGCAGTGTAGATGCGTTCAGAGAGCTTCGCACGCGTGGTGCTGCCCGGAATTATTATGTAGGCGTCCCACCCGAAGGCCTCCACGGCGCGCTCGAAGGCATCGACCGAGGTCACGTCGAAGCCTCGGAATAGCAACGCGCGGTGCCGGCGAAGCGCGGCTACAAGGGACTCGCGTTCAGAGATGACCGACTCGGCTAGGTTTCGGTTGGAATCCACTGCCGGCAGCAGCGTCTTTGGAAAGACATCATTGCCGATGAGCTTCGCTTCTACAAGCTTTCCTTCGATAAATCCCATCTCTCCCCTCTCTAAAAATTTTAGTTGTGAATGGCAAAGGGGCGCTGATATTTAACTGGCAAAATGATGTCAATTATTGAGTAATGGTCAAATGAACTTTATTATTTGGCTTATTCACTTGAGAAAAAAATTGTAAAAATACACATCCTGCCATCCACATCAAAGCATTGTTTAATTACATGTCCACGCACTATATAATTCTATTTAATTCATATGATAAACTGAATAATTGGATCATTTGTTGTGGCTATTCGCCCAAGTGAAAAGAACAATTCATCTAGAGTACTCGATAAATCAGTCAAGGATTTGTTTGGTGCAGCTGCAGCTTTTTGAATAATTAATTGTAAAGTTGTCGAAGAATAAATTGTTATTCAATAAATTGTGATGGCTATTTCAAATTTATTTTAAAAAGAATTCAGACCGCAACTTTCTAATCACTTAGCCACTTTGCACGCTTATATCTTCAACTAAAGATCTTCTTTTTTGAAATAGTTTGAACCATTGGATTCATTATCTCGTCCTTTTCAAAATGAGTCGTACTTTGATCGTCTTTATAACTACCATAACTACGTTTGTAAGTCTACCAAAATATCCCTTCTTGGCCAAAATTACAATCTAGCCTTTTTAGTCATATCCCTTCATTCCTATTCATCTTAGCCACTACCACATTGATCCATGGGATTTAATTCCATTGGCCCATGTGTCATTTGCGCCACATTCAACCCTCTCTGGCATCCACATCACCTCAAATCTAGGCCACCCATTTCACATCCATAACCTCCTTTTCAATCCTAGTCTTTCTTTCCTTATAACCACTTTTCTCCTCCAAATTTCCCCCTATTCCTGCACTACTTCATTGGTTGAACACATGAAAACTCCCTACTTCTCCCCCCATTTCATCCCACTCTCTTCTCTCTCTCAATTTCACTCCCAAAGTTGAAGACCAAAACTTATCTCACTCTCCAAGCCACTAAAATTGAGCCCCTTCTTTCCCTTGTCCAAGCAACTCTGGGAGAAAGAAAAGAAAGAAGGAGAAGACAAACCATGAGAGCAAGGATCAAATTCAAGGAAATTCACATCAAATTAAGGGTATGTAATCTCTTTTCTCTTTGCATTCAATTGTTCATCATGCAAAATTGAAATTCCTTTCTCACCTCATATGTTTGCATGATTAACTCCAAAATTCACCGCATGAATTTAAAAATTCTCCTTCTCTTTTACATGTTTGTTTAATTTTAATATGTATCATGTCTTCTTCAAAATCTCTCAATTTATATATGTTTTGTGTACAAATGAATGAGTTTTTGGTGTAACTACATTTATTTATAATTATGTGATATTGCATTATGAAATTGGCATGTTTTATACTAAATAAGTCAAAACCAAAACCAATTATGCATGAAACCATTGGTTTTTTTATTCAATTATTTCCTAATATGTTTACATGATGTTAATTTATTTAGTATGTGTGAATTAATATATTAATATATATATATATATATTTGTGTGTGTGTGTGTGTGTGTGTGTGTGTGTGTGTGTGTT